GATATTATAAAATATTCATTAATTTATTTAATGCTTGCAAAAATGGTAAGATCTGGTATCTTTAGAAAATTACATACAATTTTTAGAAAAACGATTATTTATACAGCACAATTTTTTTTCCAAACAAAAACCAGAAATACCATTTGCAAAACCAAATGCAACAAATATCAGTTTCGGCTCAATATTACAATATTATTTTATATAATTGCAGCTATACATATAATATGGTATTATACTTTTATACTACCTTTTATACATTTATACAAGTTAATATTGCTCTGTAGTATTATTAATACTTTTATCATTTATGTGCATTGCGCATTCAATATAATTTGAGTGAAATTTGAAACATGTATTCTAGCAGCCCAAAACTTAGCATTTTGACTCAATATATTGACTATAAGAAAAATAAGGCTATATTATATTATATGTATACGTTTTCTTCCATTCATATCACATAAACAGCAGAATATGAAACATTAATATACGTCTTATACATTTGAAATTTCGTGTGTTTATTGCTTGAATTGTTATTTTAAGTGATTTACCAATTTTTCAGGAATTATCAGAATCCTTTATTTTTCATGTACTCAATTCATTGTTTTCAAATTTATAATATCAATTACTTAATAAATATAGTTGGTAGGTATGTGCACCACTTATCTACGCTAAGGTGAATGATATATTATTAATCCAATTTATATTTTTGTTCAAATAATTGTATCAGTTAAATTGATTATGTCTTTATCACACCTATAGTATGCAACTTTTAGGAATATATTGTACAAATCACCTGTTTTATTCCAATATCCACAAATATAACAATAAAGTTGTATATTTTCTTACCAAATAAATCATTTTTTCATCGTGCATTTTAATTTCATGAACTTTCACATTCTATAGAACCAGCTCCGTATTACAGCGGTAGTTTATTATATATAACATCATTTTTTTCGTCTCCAAAAAATTGATAGGTAGTTTTCATCGTTGAAATAATAAAATTACATCATGAATGATAGTAGGAATATAAGGTAGGTACTTACTATGAATACCTATCTGGCTATTATTATTATTACTAGAGATAATACACATTGTTATAAAAAATAATGCACAGCACCTATACTATTAAAAAAATATATTATTTACGTGAGTTAAATATAATTGAACATACAATATTAACTATCTCATATCAGCTCATTAGTATTATTCTCATAATTTATTTGCCAATTAAAATCACATTAGCTATTATGATGTATAAATATCAAATATTATGTTTCATAAATAAAATACTAGACATTACATAATATGTAGAAGTAATAGAAGGGAGTTAATTTAAAAATTCTAAATAAAGAATTTTACTTTACCAAAGTATATTCGTGAAAAAACCTAAATCATGTTACAGCCATAATACAAAAACCAACTCAGTGCTAATATTAGCGAAATTACGAAGAATATAAGAATTCCTAATTATATTACTTTAAAGAGGAACGAAGCGTATACGAATTTTGGTTGGGCTTTCATATAAGTATCTTTTTGACCTAATTTACTAGAAGACTAAAGGGTAATGGTGCCATTTATCGCGATGGATACGGTAGAGTATCCCAAGAAACAACCAATATTTCAAGTTCACCAAAACCTTATTTGACTATTATTTTTTTTTTTTATATTTTTGTATTAATTTACTAAAACATATTATTATTTATTATGATTTGACGAGATTTAAATATTAATATTTATGTTGATATTTCGTTGCTACTGTTAGACTTAGACTATTACACATAATATCCAACTTATAGCTACATCTTTAATGTATTGTGTCATACCTAAAGCTATAGGCCTATAGGGATAAATTATATATACCTGCTACAGACCTACAGTATTGTTAAAGTATTTTTTTAACGATGACGGTTATTTTGTGTAGTCGAACCGAAGAAACTTATTCATTTAATTATATTAACAAACGTGTATGGACACGATAATTATTATCATTAAACTGGAAACAACAATGCACTTATTATTATATTCAAAACGATGTAGAAGTTTCAACATATTTTAGCTTTGAGCTAAGTTCGTGTTTCAATTAGAACGCACCTCATCATATTAATTTTATTTTCTAGTGATATAGATGGATATGACGCATATCTTTTATTATTTATGAGTTGGAAATCAGTTGTAGATTGTTATTGTTAATTATTTTTGTATGTTAGATCATGGCAACATCTTACAAACTGATGACGAATTCAAAAGTTGTGTAAGGATTAATCAAGCAGGTTATCTTGATTTTCATTGTTTGTATATGTTTATATAATTATTATATTATTATGTACCGACCTATAATCTCAAAATAAACGGTATAATCACTACACGTATCAACGTAGCACTGGGGCAGTGATTGTTTATAATATTATTACCTATAAGTATAGGCACTCGTTACTTATGTAAAATGCTAATTTAATACTCTTTTTATTTCCACAAAACGTGTAGGTACTAGGTATGTCGAGTGTCTAGCTATTTTGTGTTCATCATAAACACTTTTATCCTCTCACAGTTTCGAAATATTCACAATAGCTTGAAAAAATATTGGTTGTATTTTAATCTCTGATAAATACATCTTATTAATACTATGTGCACGTGTTTCTATTATAACTTAAGAACTTATAAATATTTACTAAATAATATTATAAGACAATGAAATTGTAAAATGTAATACTATATTTAAATACATAGTTAAATCATTAGTAAACTCCAAAATCATGTTAAAATTATTTTTTGAAATTTCAGTGCACATATTATATCACTATAATATAGCCTGTGCTCCAAAATGTTGATTACCTATTACTCATATAAAAAAGGTTCGTTATTTTATTAAATTTTAAATTATTCTGAGCAGAGTGATTTGGTTTAATAATGTCGTGTGTGTTTTATTTATTTAACTTCTTTTAGTTGAGTTTCTTTCAGTACGTTTTAGAGTAGAAAAACGCTTCAATCTTCAACTATGAGGATAATTACTGGCAGAAAATTCAATTATTACTCATTAGGTATGAGGTTGGAGGGTCAAATGTGAAAAAATCTTTTTCACGAAATAATCAAAAAAATTGCTCAATACCAGTTTTTAGCTAAATTGATTATGTTATTTTGATATAGATAGGTAATAAAAAATGAAAAACCGTAGATAATAGACTTTCAGTTAATATTATTATGTTAGCATTTTCTAAACAAAATTTAATTTTTTAAACATTTTAGCTCTTTTAGAACATTGATAATTTTTTTTTTCGATTTACCTATTTTGTTGAAAACTAAAAAAACTTGAAAATTATATACCCGGTTTTTTTTAAAGTTGTTTACACAAAACAATCTAAAAATAACAAAATACATAATAAGCACATTTATTTAATAAGAAAATAACGATTTTCTTAATAACAGTTTTAGATGGAAAAAAATGTTGTAGTTAACTATTCGATATTATGTTTATTATTAATTTCTATACACAACGAAATTTTCTAAATATTTTGACCAACTTAAAACTAACTTATACATCAATTCATAATAATATAAAATATCAAAATATAATAATAGGATAAAACACCGCAGCTGCTCAGAATTATTTTCCATATGCAATGATTTTTCATTGAATTTAAAAACAGCAAGTCAATTACATTATTACAGTGATCTACACCACTATGAGATATTTAAACTGAAAAATGTTCTTCGCAGTCGACTGCAGGTGACTCCTTCTGTTTTTAATTTGCAATTATGATTGAACATTAAATAATCATTACACTTGAGACAATATAATTATATTCTTACTTTTACAGTTATACTGTCTAGTACCTACGTATGAGTTCTTGATACGACATTATTTATTTTATTTGAAGAATAAATAATTTAACAAACAGTTAAAAATGTAAGAATTCCCTATCTGTTTTCAATTATTTTTGATACAACAAAATAATAAATGTTACAAAAAAAGACCTAGTAATATTTATTTATCTATGTATTTAATTAAATTGTTTTCAGTGGTAATTGAGAATTTGAGGATCAATTACTAAGTTTTTTCTATACTCTAACCTTGGAAGTAGTTGAGAACTTAATTAAAATTCAAAACAAATTTGGTTAAATAAACATCATTTGGCACTACCTACTAATTCTAAGGATATTTTTCAAATTAATGACTTTTATTAAATTCTATAAACGATTCTAAGTTAATTTATCATTATTCATTTTTTGAAAAATATTAAGATATGGAAAATATAATTGAATCATAATGTAAATTATATTACATGAAATTAAATGTGTTATAAAGAATTATAGCATATAATAAAATATTAATACTTTTTGTAACAGTATTCAGTAATTAGTAAAATAGTTTAAAGTAGCTAAAAAATTGTAATAAGTTTGAATTGAAAATGTCCTGGGTGCACAGCTGATTCACATAATAAATTAAACATTATTTTAAAACACGTTCGGGTGTGTTTTAATAATATACTAATTGTTATGCAATTAGCAAATAGAAACATTCATTTGTACAATCAGTTTTTATTAAATTAAGTACTTATACTGTTGGAATTGTATTAAAATATTTACCTACATATATAATAGGGTTATCATAAATTTACCTAAAATCTTAGTGTTAATTTTTAACTATATCAAAAACTACTGAGCACTATGGTAAATGGTAGTGTAATTAATATCAATTTAATTATTTAATTTTAATAAATGATGATCAAATTATTTTTTTTTTGAATTGATTTTAGAAAGAAATCAACATATAATTGCGTAAAACTAAAACCTTCTTTATTCCGATCAACATTAAAAAAAAAACATTCCTCAATCTTTACAAGCAGCAATTTCACTTATTAAGATTTTGTATTCAAACGAAACATAATAAAAAAAAAAGTTCAAAATAAGTAATATTCATCAATCAGTAATATTTAAAATGTTTTAACAGATTATTTAGGTTGAATAAAAAAAGGTATATTGGTTTAATATAGAGCTATCAGTTGAATTGATTTATTATTCTTATAAAAAGTGAATTAAATATTTGATTATAGAATAATAGAATATAGAATTGTTTACATTGAATAATTACTTTTCTGAATATTTTCTGGGGCAAATGTTCCATCTATTCAAACCGAGTTATCAATTTTTGTTTAATCGGGAGGAGAAAATTGAATACAAAATTAAAATAATTTGAAATTGGTTTATTAGTAACAATATTTAATAAGGTTAATTTTTATATAATCATAAAATATATATATTTTATTTTATTAAATTTAGATTAGATTAGTTAGGTATCATAATTCCGTCAAGCACTAGGACTGTATACACGCATACTGATTTTACACCATTATTGTAAGAATATTTTCTGAAAAAATAACACAACAACTATTAAAAACAATACTTTATTTTAATGAATAATCATAACTCACAAGTCACATCTTTACAAATAGGCAATAAAATAGGTAATATATTTTCATTTCATCGTCGAATTAATAACTAGAATGCACTCAATTTAATTGTATGGTTTGATGTCTACAATTTAATATAATAATGATAAATAGTTTTTTTTAAATAAATTATTTAGTCCATCATATTTGCATTAAAACCTGGTTATGACTTAATACCTAAGTTAAATATGATAACACATAATTAATAGCATATTAATTTATAAAAATAACAGTTAAATATTATAAAGTTGTTCAAAGATCATAAGAGCTTGCCTCTTCAGTATGACGTTTCAACACGAAAGTGTGGACGGTTCCTCCAAGTATGCCACCTACAATAGGACCAACCCAGTACACCTAAAACAATCATAAAGTGTCATCATGATAATTTTTTCTATCGTTGTTATTAATAATATAACTATTTACCCAATGATTTGACCATACACCAAGAGCAACAGCTGGGCCCAAAGATCTTGCTGGATTCATGCTAGCTCCTGTGTATTTAATCTGCAATAAGACACATCCATCGAGTATTAATACATAGTTTATAACAATATAATATTTTTCAAGTAGCAAAATAGATAAACCATAGTTTTAAATATAAAAAGTCATTCATTTTATATTTATAAATCACATTGCTAGCAACTGATATTATTATATTATAATGTTGTCTATTCCTCAAAAGAAAACATTTAAGTATAATACAACTATATCTACCCATTAACACCACCTTCTTATTCAATCATTAAACGAATTGTTTTTATGAATCTTATAATTTTTAATTGTTTCCAAATAAATATTATGTACATTTAGAGGTTTATTTAATCTCTAATTCGGATAATAATTTATAATGTCCTCTGTAATGTTATAGGTGCAGTAGAATAAAACATTTCAAAATATTTATTCGGTTATCGAATTAACAAAACTTATAACTAAGCCAATACCTGCACTATATTATTCTAATACAATGGAATGTTTTGGATGGATGCAAACGTGCGTGTTCAATTATTCAATGATGACAAGTTTTGACAAATTATACTCGTACACTATCATGCTAAATATTTTTCTCTGATTGTTTAATCAGTAGTGTCTGATATATATTTAGTACTTTATATATCATTATTCATTTTGTTATTTAATGATACACTGACGTTTCTATTTTATAATATAATATATAACATCAATAAATTATTTATCAACAATAGTGATGTTGGTAACTGGGGCCACAACATTTTGTCCCAACAAAGTATTTAACAATGTTTTAAACAAAATGAAATATTTAAGTTTTTACTTAAACGTGAAATATTAAAGATTGAAATTTATAATCGAAAATTATTTAAATTATATTTCTGTTATATGTCTATATTCGTAAAATTACTCCAAGGTCCCTTCGCCAAATCGTAATGAATTCGACATGGTCAAGCTACTTTTTCAAAGGATACTGATGATGAGATATAATGTTGGCAGTCAGTTTATTTTCACTTTCATACTATTGCCAAAATGTATCTAAAAAGATTTTTTTATAAGCAAATAGTATATATATATGTATTGCACATAAACCCGAAAAATATAAAAATAATATGTTAAATATTAGAGAAGTTGTTATGGCGCTGTTGACCGAAAGTGTAGGCCTAATTTAGTTGCTCAGTGGCAACATTTTCAGAGGCACCACATAGGTTTCTGTCATATAATGAGGGACGTCAAACTCTTTATTATAGAAAGACCACCCGTGCCTGGTTCGACTAGAGACTTTATAAGACTCCGAGACTTTGAGGATAAAACATTATACAATTATTAAATACATTATTAGGTAAGTATATTAAAAATATTATTCCTTACAGTATTTTATAAAACCTAGGTGCATTAATATTATATATAACTATCTGTATGTAATTCGATGTCGACCAGAAAAAAATGAGCAAATATAAAATACAGAGGTAGATAGGTGTATCTCGGTTTAGAGTACCTCTAGTTGTGAAATAATTAAAATTAGATGGACAATCGAAATTCTCGGATCAAATTAATTAGCACGTGGTATACGGTTAACGGGGTGCATACTACTCTCTAAACTTTTCTGATCTCTCTTAAATCAATCTCTGAGATTTTCGTCAAAATCAGTCGACTTGCTTTTTGGTATACATATTAGGTACAAATAAACATTTGTTATTAAGATATAATTCGAGGCTATTTAAACGATGATTGATGCATGATTTTACCTCATCTGCCCGAGTTATCAATGGCAACCAATTATACACAAAATATACTAATTTCTACGATAATTTTTATAATCCCTAACCTGCAATGGCAAATGGCAACCCTTTTTATAAAAAAAAAATTATCAACTACCATCGTGAATCGATCCTTTTTCAATCCTTTGTAATTCAAATCCTTGTGTGAGTACTTTTTTAAAATGGGAATTTTGAAAAATACTTTCTCATTACACCCTTACATAGTTACACAAAGGTGCTATGACAATTTTGAGTTTCCAGCTATCATAGTTTAGGCACTATATTGATCAGTCAATCAGACTATATGGACTCATTCAATTATATTATAATACGTACATAAATAGCATAACTTAATACCAAGCAAAATAGAATTAATTTTTATTTCAATATCACAATCATTGTCTGTTAGGTATTTATTAAATAACAATTGAAAATCTTAACACCAATTACCAATTATTATCATTTAGTTTTATAAGATTTATTTTTTTATACTATAGTTTTGATTTTTAGTGTTGAAAAATGAAAATAAATTTTTGTTACAAAGTTAGGTTATATATTCCTTATATTATTATAAATATTGTTAAATGCACCTACTATTCCAATCAGGAAACTTAAGTTATTTTATAATCACCTACCAGCTACCAACATACTAATAACAATGCTAAATTACGACAGTTAATTGAGTTTTTAAATTAAGATGTTACAATTTTACTTGTATAAAAAGATAAAAATTATATAATAAAATTGATTTTATTCTGGAATAGGATTCTACATTCACACACGGCTTGTTCTTTAATTATATTTTAAGGATATAGTTAATATAAAATAAATACCTTCCACACTTCTATTATTTCATTGTCTTCAACATCTAAAATTTTTGATTTAAGTTCAAAAAAAGTTATCAGTGTTAAACTTTGTTTTGTGTCCTATACTAGTTATTAATTATTAGTTAACCGATTCCTGAATTCATTATTTTTATTTAGAATTTGGAGAAAATAAATCTTAATAGACTAAGTAATATTAAACTAGTGAAAAATTACGAAATAAAGATATTTCAAGATATTGGTATGTGGTCCGCTAGGCATAATATTTTGGTTTATTATTTTCGTTACATATTATGTTGTATTACTTTGAACATCGATGGGTGTGGCAACCAGGTAGCCGTGTTACAGATAATCATATTTTTAAGGGTATTACCAGAAAATAAATGCAACACAAACTTTCAATTAACCATGATTTATAATACATTATTTTAAAACAGCCGTTGACCTATAGGGATGCGTGTGGTTGTATACAAATATAAAATATGTACAACATTATATTATATAGTCATATAGATGTATAGTATACGTAGATACATGCAACAATGACTGGGTTCACGAACATATTGTGGAAATTATTTTAATTTTAAGGAATTTCCAAATTTTTTCTCATGGATACATTAGGCACAAACAATTATTAATACGTGTCATGTAATTGTATTTAATACATTTCAAAATATTTATTTTTTAAATGCCTGGCGCGACGGATGATATACTTACATAATAATAATAATAATATACTGAAAGCAATACATTAAGAACGTGAGTTCGATGGTAATTTTTTTTTTGAATGTTTAGGTAAAACGATAGTAACTCGACGATATACATATAAGTCGTGTATTCGTGTCATTCCTTCCCACGTCGGCTCGGAAACAACAACAAAAATAATGATAATAATAATAACAGTATGGGAAACGATCATCTGTATATCATACATAACCATATTATTATTAAAACATCGGATCACGTGAAAATCCAATCAGTGTCTTGCATACGCGATTTAACGTTATATCCGACGACAACGAGAGGAGCTCGACACAGAACAATCCCCCACCCCCGCGCTCATTCGCATCACGACGACCACTGCCACCGTCCCATCTCGCCCTCTGAACACCCGTCAGCGTCATCGATCGATCAACCACCAGGCAGAGAGGACGTACGTAAGGGATTTTATCACATTATATATTATTATATATACGCGTTAACGTCCGACCGGAGTATATGATAATGACACAGGGTTATACCTGCTGTACCAAGCTGCGACCATCATCACTGCAGTGAGTTTGCGCACGAAATCTCGAAAATATTAACGGTCACTGGGCAGCGAGATAAAAATATAAAATACAACAGCGAGTATGTATAAATTATCGATATGTTAGTAAACTTGTTAGGTTCTTTGAAAACATTTTTCAAATCACATCCGTAAGTAAACTCGATTTTCAAATAAAATAAAATGTAACCGATACCGTACGAATACGATACAAATTAAAAGTTATTGGTAGGTCAGGTAGTTGTCTAACTCTAGGAAAATATACAGTATCGCTATTACATGATAAAAAATATTATAAATTATATTTTCATTGCAAGAAAAAAACTTTTCCAAAAGTTGTATCAAAATGGTTATTGCAGGTTTTGATGTAGATGGAATTGTACAGTGAGCAAAATAAAATAAACATTTTACCGCTGCCTCGAATAAAATATCTGTGTCGAGAAAATAAATTTAGAACGAAGAAAGACGAGTGGCTGTCATAAGCCATAGCGAGCATTTCGTCCGACTATTTTCTTTTATTTAATCGTGTAGCGTTTAGTATTAATATTCCTACAGCAGCACCTATTGATCATTATTATTAATAGCTTATATATTATAACAATGTATATACGCACATATTATAATAATACACTATATCGGTATTGACTTAGTATTATAATAGATACATAATAATTTGTACAAAACTTTTTATTTCGCCGAACCATTAATTGCAATTCGTATTCATGTCTACTGCTATGGAGTCGCTACGGTGTACTTTAAGTCAATACAGGCTGTACCTAACTCAATTACATAATATCTACGTAGGTACCTACTCAGACCTTGCAGATCACAATGTTATTTGTTTTCGTATACGGTAAATGAGTAATTTGACTCTACTTGAACGGGGAGGCGGAGGACCCGTCCAACCCTGCACGTGCTCACCATCACAGCTCACGAAACTAATACGCAATAATACTGTATTATGATACAGTTTTCGATGACGCCGCCGCACAATTTTTCCGCACGAACGTCAATGCTCACGCCACCCGTCGACTATAATATCGTGACAACAGTATTATTATACTATTACAGCGCCAAGCGTGTACGTTACAGAATAGTTAGCACAAGGTCCAGGGTTTAATGCATTTTTAGAACTTCTAACTACGTTTTGAATAGATAATTTAGAAAATTATACAAAACATTACCTAGGTAGTAACGATAATATTATGGTATATCGGTTCGATATAGGGAAATTGTATTGCAGCCACGCAGATAATGTTTATCCAAATATTAACGCTGCGGATACAATTTTAGTAATAACTGAAAGATGATAAATACAAATACCGAAAATCAATATTTAAAATAAATTGCAACCATGATTTTGGAACCTTACATGGAATCCTTACAAAAAACAATATTTAATTCTATATAATAAAATATTTATTGGTTTTAGTGAACCTATTTATAGCGATTTTAAGGTATGGAATTTTAAATTATAATTTATCACTTTAATCAGGACTGCCTATACAATAATAACAATATTATTGATGAACAATTTATCAATTATTAATACATTTACTGTACGTACACATCACTAACTATCACCGTAGAGGGGTTATTAAATGTTATAACAGTATACCATTCAACCAAGCCAAATTACCACTATTCGCCACAAATGTTGTATTATATTCTGTACAATATTATGCTCTATACGTATGAAAACCAATGTACCCGAAAAATGACCAAAGCCTGGGCTCGACCGTTACTCTCAGCGAGACCTCCATTGGGGTGGATGGGATACTGTTTAACCGTATTCTGATAATCTAAATAATTTAGATCAGTCAACAGATGTACAAACTCGGCAGTCGCGAAATGGCATAATAAGCAGGGTTGCGAGGAGCCCCGCAGACCGTCCCAATAATCCCTCCTCAGCCCTCGACGACACACAAGACGCGGCGACGATGTGCACAACAATATAATATTCATCTGCACAGAAATAATATTGTTATTGGTTGTAATCTCATCACGTCTGGTGTGTAATCGCACGGATGTTCGCGGAGATTCCTCGAAGACAAAATAAGTAATAACACGCATTCGTCTTAGCACGACACGCACGGCACGCGATGTGAGTAATCCCGGGGCGGTGTCGATCGCACGACAAGATAATTATTTTGGTATCCGGTTTTTCCCTCGCAGTTTTGCGCACACGTTTATGAGTGCCGTGACGGTTATTATTATGATGAGTCAAAATAATTAATCATAAACAGAGCCCCGTGCAAAATTGTTTGAATAAAATAATATTTTGTTGAATATAATACCTGCCTACATGAATGTAATATGATAATTTACTACATAGGTATATTTATGAAAAGTCTTAAAACTGAGACCGTGCACTGTGCCTTATGTTTTAAATTCTGCACCTGAACATTTCCAAAGGGACAATTTGTACATTTCTGATCTGAGTTATAATAACTTATACTGCACTAAAGCAGTATAAATGACGAAATGCGACTGCCGGGGTTCGGTGTACCTAGTCCTACTCTTAATTGTGTATTATCTACAGAGTACACGTTTATTTCTTCTTTTTTTTAAGAATATGTAGCCCTATAGGTACATACTTCTTGCCTGAAATCCTATTCATACAATAAATAATTTCACTTCATCCACATTTTCTGAGAAATTCCAACTATGTGCCATAGGGTATAAAATAACTTTTATTCATTAATCGTGTCAATGAATATTGTACTCTATTGTGTGTTTTACCTTATATAAATAAAATTATGACCGTAAGTAATACGAGTTTGAGCTCATTTTATTTTAATGAATAAACTCTGAGTATATATGTATATTCTATTTCAATACATTTCAGGTGTACTGGTATTTTTTCCGAATGCTTACCCCAACATTGCAGCTATTCAGTGCAAAGTTAATGATGTATTTTGCACCCACCTGTTTTTTTTACTTTATAAATATATTATAAAATCTAAAATTTGGATAAATGTTTAGTCATAAATTAAGTATAATTACATTTAAAGATATTTGCAATATAACTAATGACTATAACCTATAAAAGAAAAATGTATGAGTAGATGAGGATTTTTTATTACATATTAAAGCTTTCTGACAGAACAAGGATATTTTGATCAACGCTTATAAAAATAAAAACGCCTGTTAACTGCATAAAATTAGTATAAATATGCTAAACATTTAATTGTGTATAGAAATGATGGTTTAAGTACCTAATAGTGAAATATTTCAAATTTCCAAGATTAATATATTTTGTAAATAATAACAAAAAAACAAAAACCGTCATTTGAATATCGAATGCCGTCAAAAATTTCAAATTATTTTGAAAAGTTTCAGACATGTTTACATCTCTCCCCCCCCCCAAAAAAAAAAAAATTACCAATCAGATCCAATTTTCTACTAGAAACCAGTTAAAACCACTATCAATGTTGAAGATTGAAGCAATTTTATCATTCCAAATACTATTAAATAGTAATGATGAGTAATGGCAGACTTAGATAAACTTAAATAAAAGTAGTTGTAAAATCAATAAATCGCTTCGCTCAAAATCTAAAATTTCTGCAGACACGTACATTCACCGGGTTTTGGACAAACGTCTAATGGCACGAAAAAAAAATGTGATAACACTATTGTAAAACCATAAATTTTAATTGTCTTTATTAGTATGTAATAAAGTATTGATTATTTGGAGTTTAAGCTCACAAATCACGATTAAAACTTTATGACCCACTTTCAAATCGATTGACACTTAAGTGTTTCGTATACACAGTTATCTTAAAACTTGTGATCACTCAACTTTGCTATCACAATTAAAAGAAGTTAAACAAATATAGAGTATAGGTACATTGATTTTCTTCTTCACAAGAAATATATACATCAATTATCCACACATAATTACCTCATGAGTACCTATTTTAAATTTCGAAAAAAAATGATGAATGCACACTATAATAGGTCTACTATTATAGTTTTACAAGGACGTATTTTTTTCCTGCAGAAAGTTTTGCAAATAGCGTAAAAAAATATATCTGAGCTGGTACTTTATGACTTTATATTATGTATATAATATATGTGATGTATGAATATTACTCTTTGGTAATTTTGTGCAGATATTTAAAACATAATATGTTAATAAAATCAATACCTATTTCTATATATTATTTAACATATTAAACAGAGTTTTGGTTTGAATAATTTTTCAAATGAGAAGATTTATCATTACATTACAAACATGCTGAATGATCAATACACCGAGATAAGTAATTATTACCATTTACTATGGCTGTGTCTTGTCTGGTTTTTTAAAATTCTTATTGAAATGTTAGAAAACCGTGGAATATAGTGTCTTTGTTATAATAATATAGTAAATGTCAAGTGTACTTCGTCATTGAACGACAATTATTGCACTCAACGACGATATACATTAGGAACCTACTATACGGCAGAGCGACTTCATTGGATTTATTTTATTCTTATATAGCAGGTACCTACGATGTTTAGAAAGATTATAGAAATATCAAACCAATCTATAAAGTTAAGCAAATTCTAAAATCACGATTCATTTAAATTTAAACCTACCTATTCAGTTTGTTGCATAACTCATGCCATATTTCATTTAAAAATGAGGTGACTAAAGGTGTTTCCAATAGATATGGCTAGCCATGTAACCAAAAATATCAAAATTTAGCAAATTTACGTTAACCTTTCTATAACATACCCAGTTGAATTAATAATTAATTTTTCCTGCGTCCAGCGTGTATAAAACCCCTTATGTAAGTAACTTTTTAGCTTTAAATGCAATCATTATTTATAAAGACATCGCTTAATTTTTTTTAGTCATTTTACAGGTTAGTTTAAGATCAAAATTGATGACCCAATATTTTTTTTTAAATAGTTAACAGTTTTTTCATTCACTTATACATAGGTTTAATAATATTTAATATGTTATGAAGAAATCTGATTGACTGTAATTTGCTGTTTGTTAGCGGACTGTCAACGCCACCAAAATAATAATGTATTAATAAAACAGAAAGTATTATTATTTTAAGTATAATGAATTATTCTGCATAGTTTATAACAGCTATACTCTTCATAAAACATATTTTCATCTAGCGTGTTTGAGTTAGAAAAAACCGTGTCAAACCACATTTGCAAAACTACACTATGATACACCACAATCGTATTAATAATATTGGCCTTATTACTGTAACAATGTTAATTGTCGCTCAATCTGTCACCCTTTCGACGTCACCTGCCACCATTATAATACTGCTGTACCTATAAAATATTATGTATAGGTATAGGCGACGATTTGTCACAGTAGGCATGGTATACGTTCCTATGTGTATCTGAGTATGTCTAATTAGCACCACACCGCGAGTACGTAACTCTATAGGTATTACAACTAACCACACTCGGAAAACATTGCACTACAACGGTTACGTGTGTTTTCCATTATTATTATTATTATTATTATTATTAGGCACCACCGTAGCGCGGGGCCGGTATACTCGCGTGCTTACACATTCACCGTAGTGACGTAGAATTATAGGTACGCGTTGTTATATTGTCGAGCTTTTGACAGTATAGTAAGATTATATATTATATATAATATATATAACATATATATCTATAAAAATTAAAATATTTCGAAAACAAACTGCCGTGCTTTAAACCGTGACGATATACAATTGATAACAACATTCTCAGTTCAATTTTGACGAGGATCACGGTTAAGTTTTTACGACTATGACTGTGAAATCGCATAGGCACACTGGTACAGTGAAATAAAAAAGGTCGTCTGGCTCATCCGATGTGATTATAATTATATTATTATGTGTTCCGACATGTCCTTCATGGCTTCACAGTAGCACACACACGATGAGTTGTACGTTACATAAAATCGTCATTTCCTCGGAGCCTCTCTCTGCACGGCGGCACGGCATGCACTACGAAGCCGCCACTATTCATAATAATATATTATTATCGACCTCGTTGTCCTATTGTTTCACTTTTTTTTTTCACTCGGCAGAACAAATCGGACGAAACTACGAGAGAGTAAATACACAAAACAACACAGTTTAACGATAATAATGCGTATTATAATATTATTATGCTATATTATTCTATGACGTCACCACGCGTAACGCGTCAGTCTCAGTACTCAGCATAGATCATTCCGTGACCGTTTTTCTGGGGGCATCCGACGTCAGCTCATTCAATGAATCGTGAGAAAGCCTAACAACGTACCTAAATAGTTGTCTGTACGTATATAGGTGTCTGAGAAATCCTAGGCCAAAGCAGGTGGTAATCCTGTCGTGGTCGCGACAGACAAAAATACCGTTCGCTAATGGGAACTGTTACTCGCACATCTCGACTGTTTAGTCGACGAGACGTAGGCGTGCCAATTAAAATAATAATGTCGAAGACTCGGCGCCTATAAGGCTATAAACTACAATTATGGTAGGTATAAAATAGCATTGTATGTAAGCGATCTTAAGCCAGCGCTATTATGGCCGTTGTTAAAGTCGCGGTGGCCTATCATATTATCATATTGTGTGTATTTGGTACAGCATACGATAATTAATAGCATAAAATCCGGTAAATCGGCGTGTGTACCTACGTTTATTGTTTTACACCGTCGTAAAACTTGTCTTGGTTATATACCCTCGGGTATTCGATTCCGAATAAGTGCGGGGATTAATTACGTTTACGATGTTAATTATACCAATTTAATATGATATTGCAAATCTATTTTTAAACGACCATCACTATGACACGCGCCATTTACGGTCTCACTGATCCGTTTCGAATTAATCCAATATAATGCATTAATGCATTTAAAAAAAAATTCACCATGTGACACGAGTACACGACACTAATAATGGCGCGAGCACGCCCGCCAAGCACATAATATTTTACGCCAACAATATAATGGCATCAGTAATAATGCAGTGATCCTTAATACACGACGTAACAATTACATTATAGGTATATTACACATTTAGTGGAAACCGATGTTTAAATTATTCTCGGGGAATATTGCAATGAAAAAATGAAATTATTATACACAATAAGACACAATAATCGTTGCCACTCACGAACATTTATTGGAAACAACTAAAAATGATTAATAATCAGCTGTAAGCACCATTACTACCTATAATTATCGTTGCCTACAACTTATTGAAACCAAAGATAGCTAAGATGTTTTCAGTCACGTAGTTCCAATAACCGTTGTTTGCATGCGTTCTAAGTGTGCAAATGTTTTACATTAAAATTGATTTTCCAATAAATAACGGGAAGTGCACTCGTATATTATATTATATTATATTTTACGATTTATTTACAAAAAATTAAAATCAAAAAATGTATGTAAGTGTTACATTTATATTTTTAAATTTTACTATTATTTTAACCATTAATTACACGGAAAAGAAATGCAAGTACAACAAATAAACAAATCACAAGATCCCCGTGGTTAAGTAATTGTTTTGTGAAGGCGTTTGATTAAAAAAAATCAAAAACAAAAGCAAAGTCAACACTGTCGACGCAACCTGTCTTACAATATAATTATCCTTGTGAATTTGAGGTTAAAAGAGCGAATGTCTTTTGTTATGTGTTTTGTTAAAGTCATTCCGCTATAGGCATAGTATATTCATAGTGACTTACATTAGTATTATTCTTTCTTTTCTTTTTTTTGTTTCATTTAATCTGTCACTGCATAACACTAGGTACGCAAACTCTACTTGCGAAATATATAGCCTGATACTTTTCCTGCAGGTATCACGGATATAAAGTTGAAGGATATTATACTTGAAAAGTTGGAAATAAGTTTTTAATTTAAAGAATGGATTTGAAACAAATGCCAGAATGCAGTTCTTCCTTCTTTTCTCTCTATTAATATTTCAAAACTAATAATTAATTTTAGTTTCCGAGTATTTATTTGACGTAGGTAATTGTGTTTATATTTAAAGAAAATAATAAATATAAACAATAAATAACTAAAACTACGAAAATAAAATTAAAAACAATAAAAACCGTACAGCCAAGAAAGAGAAAATGCTAAAATTCCTGAATCACTGAATCGATTAACCAGGCTTTCAGGACTCTGACTCTACTACTCTATAGGTATCTCTTTCACAATGAAATTCATTGTCAATTTTGTCATTTTCAATTTCATCTACTCAACCGTCGCAACCTATTAAAATATCTCTCCGTCGTTTGCACAGGTATTATACGTATATTCGCATTTGTTAATAGTTATATAATATAAAATTTGACATTTGTAATGATGTAAATCCATCACATAGGCCACTATATTGCCGAGGGTTAAATGAAAAAAAAATGTAATCAAGAATAAAGTATGTCAAAACTATTTGGCTCAACGGAACGATTTCATGAACTACTGAGATATATATATTTATGATCATACTTTAGACAACTAAAATTATGTAGAGTGAATGCATTACTTACCGCTGCTAGATGGGCGGCAGCAATGGTCAGACCTATGGAGATGGACGGAGTAACGATGTTGCTTCGGCTGGCTTCATCGCAAACCGAGTGAATAACCAATATTAGAATAAAGGTAATGAATGCTTCTACGACGAATCCTTGTCCCGGTTGAAGCAGCGGACTTACGTCTGTCTTGCCTAAACCTTTAGCTACTGCGTCTGGAGTAACAAACTAGAAGATAACAAACGAAAATTAAATATATTTAATCGCCAATTATGAAATTGTATGTAATAATTTATTATATTTTTAAAGTTAGAGTAATACGGAAAATAAATACATATTATTATTGCAGTAACAATGGGAAAATTCCACATAACTTTGAACAATTGATTTACTTACGCAACTATACAAGTGTTTCTTTTAATCATTCTGAATGAAAACTGTTTACATTATATTAATATAAATTTAAATTTAAATTGAATCATTTAAGATCGTGAACAAATTGCACTTTAGGTGTTATATGGATGCTTAAATCAAGAATATCGCTCATAAAACATCAGATTAAAATGCAATGCAGGAATAGACAATAATTAAGAATTGTATTTTTCCCGATGGTTTTTTTTGTTGTTGTTTAAATACAATGTACCTAAGTAAAATTTAAACAACACAATAATTATTACAATCTATAATAGGTTCCAGTCATTGAAATATCATATAATGCAACAACATTACAGACACTTATTTGTATAATTTTATGGACATAATTATGGTACATTTCTTTTCTGAAAATTACAATAACATTCTATTTTTACAAACAGAAAAAAATAATCTTTGATTCAATTATATACCATATAAGTAAAATAAAATATTTATAATTTTATATAATTATTTGTAATTTATTCCTTAATTGCACTATGGGAAAATGTATGATATTATGTAATTTTCATTTAATAATGACATAGATCAGTTGATAGACAACCAGTAATAACTTTGTATTTATAAAATAAACACATCCTAATATGTATGACCTATGTGTATATCATATTCCCTGTGTTTTTTACTTAATTAAGGTGTAATTTTTAAGGTTAAAATGCAATAGTTTTTATGCATCGAAGGTTAACATTGAAGTATGCAAGAATTCTGTGATGGAAAATTAACAATTGTTTGGAAAAAAAACAGTGGAACGGAGTTTAAAAAATAATATTGTATTATACTCAAGTACTCAGGGCCGTATTTAGAATATTGACACCCCGCGGCACTAATGAAAAACTGGCACTTTTTTAAGGGGTTAGACTTATTTTATTGTACTTAAACCTGGACAAAGTTTTTTGTGTATTTAGCTACTAGAAATATTTATAAAATATCAAATATTAGCATAATAATTAATAATTATTAAAGGTTCATTTATTTATTTTAACTCTTGGAAACTTAGCAGTCCTGAAACACTTTATCTAGACGCTTGGACGCTATATTCAAACCCTATGTAATCGTAGTCAAATCAAGACTTTTGACAACCCTAGCTTTGTGTCCACATTCCAGTATTAAACAAATAAAGAATTAATAATAATTATAAAAGTATAAATCTTTAAATATCATACAAATTGTATCTATATAATAAGGACAGGTACAGATGTATATGGTTTTGCATCTTTTTTACTGTTTAGTGAAAAAAATACATATTTGATACTAAAATGTGTTATATGTCCTAAACAATTCTGATAATTTTGTTTGCATATTTTTACATTTTTAGAATTTTTTGAATATAGATACACTTAAAGTGCTCCTTTTAGAACTCGACATATTGTGAAGTACAAAATAAATAATAATTGTTCAAAATTTTATAATATGCGCTGATGTGCCTTGTAGCCTAGTAGACAGGGAGGTAGGTAGACATAATTCAAAGATAATTAAAAAGATGTATGAAATTGTTTCATATATTGACAAGAAAAAAAATATTTTTTAAAGAACAGAGTCGTATTGGTTGGTTTGAAAACAAAGCTGAGGATTTAACGAGTACTTATGGCTTTAAGGAAAACAAACAAAATATGTGAACATGTTTTTGAAAAAAAAAATATTTTTCATATTATGACAACAAAAAACATTACTGTTTACAATTTGTTCAGGGATTATTTTGGACATTTTGGTACTCTGGACTAACTGCATCTGCATACACATTAAAAAATATATATATCTATATATTAATAGGACTAGGACATAATATAGTTATCTGCCCTAATGGCTACTAATAATAATTTAATGGCACCATTCATACATGTGTTTACTTTCACACCACTTTCAATAAATATGACAAATAAACTTAATTTTTAAATTTCGACCTACAAACCGACAATGCAGTACATACAAAAAAATATATGTTAGCATTACGTTTATTATATTAAAAAAAAAACTCATACAAATGTGCCACCCCCTAAGTTCTATCTGGGTTTAGGCATTTGCCCAACTTGGCCAGCTGGCCACTCCATAAACACGAGACTGAATTTTTAATATGTTAACAACTACTTCACTGACACAGCAATATTTTAATACATAATATAATATGTTGTGTGTATGTGTTATTTGTAGGTATATATAAATGTATTAATAAGTATTTATAAATTATGATTTATATACAACTAATATTATCAAAACAGAAAAGTTCACTCACTTCTAGTAGGTAGACACCGGCTATAGCCCCCAAACACTGTGCAACTATGTACAGAGCAGATTTCAAAAATGAGCATTGGCCGCTCACCAAAAAGCTAACCGTGACTGCTGGGTTGATATGACATCCACTGGTCTGACCGAATATCTAAAATAGAATTTTCAGTAAAAACAACTTCTCATGAATAAAACAAATATTATTTATATAATAGATAAATAGTAAACGCATGGTTTTAATAAACTAAAGTAAATGTATTTCAATAATTGTTAACTAACTCAGTATGGATAAATTCAAACTAACTCATTCTTTACATTTACTATTGATTGCTGTATACGTTTGAAACATTAGTAAATATTCATACTTTCATATGTATCACAGTATTACAAATTATATTGGGATGTACAATTTGAACAATCGAGTATGAATGCATGATTTTTTTATTTTTAACAGATGAACATACTATTATAATCTAACACATAATGTTATATTCGTATTATATTATGTTGATTATATTTCTCAACATTTTCCTTTAAATTTTCCTCGTACAATATTATAATAAAAGTGTATAGGACATATAGGTATATGATAACATGTAGTATATCGTGTATCATAGGAAGAAGAAAAAAATATTTCATTTTTTATTCGATTTGTTTTGTTCTTGTGTCCTTCAAATATTATTGCACTTTATAAGAACAGTAAGTACCTACATTTAAATGTGATTATCCTTAATATCCGTAACCATAGATATGGTTGGTATACACAATTTTGAGACAGCAATAAATGTATCTCATAATAATATGAAATCGAACGTTTAAAAATCACTCATCTAACATTACAAATAAAATTAATGTTGGTAATGTTTTATGTCTATACTATAGTTACCTTTAAAGAATTCAATACGCATAAAATAAATGAATCGATTTAATTCTACCTAAACGTACAAATATAATTTCTGAATATATTATACTTTGTATGTACAACCAGCGGGTTGTCTTTTCAACAGTTAATTTGTCTAGACATAACTGCATAAGACTACTGTATTATTGGGGAAGAGTGAGTGTGCAATGATTTCCCGTTTGGCCGTTTCCTTCTGCACTAGGGAACGACCTGTATAATGCACCTATAAACAGGCGGTGGTGCTTAGTACTGCCTTATCCCATTAAAAATTTCCCGTTATTTTTTTTTTACGAAAAACTTTAGAATGTGCCAAATATATATATGGAAAAATTATGAAAAATAATGTAAAATATGAATTTCGTAGGCTACCTAATAAATGCAAATTCAATTAAAAATCAATACACAATATATTAGTGTTTTAAATTATTATATAATTATTAAGCTTATAGAAACTACAAAAACCTAGTGTTCTGAATAATAGGTTTAACATTTATTTATGATTATGAATAATATAATGTATTCATCAAAGCAAAGACAATTAGTTTGTTATCAACAAAAACATTTAGTCGTATACGATTCTATACTTATATATACCTACTTCGGTATGTTAAATACAATAAGAAAAATTGTTTTTTGTTCCCCTAAGTTTTACACTTGTATTTGCACGTGTGTAAATATTTCTACATAGGTACGTTCATTGTTTGTACAATCTAATTTGTATGTACCATTGAACTGTAATAATTGAACTACCTGTTATATGTATTATTATACTGTCTTCGTGATCGATTTCAATTTTAATTATCATATTACAATATTTATCGTATTTACCTGTACTAGTGTTGCTATTGTGAAACCAAAAGTCAGAGCGATTTGTATGATTTCCGAAGAACCGATTGGACTGTTAAGCCACATAATGCTGCCACAACCAAGAAACAATAGAATAGCTGTGCCCAAAAATTCGGCAAACAGCATTCTCCATATTTTGTTATTGTCAGATACGTCGTCCATTGCTATCATACCATGTACAACTAAAACAAAAATAAACATTTCGTTTTTAGAAAATAAATAGGTACCTATATAATTATTAATATTATTTTTCATTTTTATAACGTTACCGTTGATTTATAACAAATAAATATAATTATAGTAGGTGCCAAAAGAAAAAGAAAATGACAATTAATCGATTTGAAAAATAATTGTAAGTATATGGCTAAAAGCTAGCTCCTTGGATAAAAATGTGTTTAGAATAAAGTGTACTATCTAGAACAACAAGTTAGTAGTTACCTCTCGCAGTGAAAAAAGCAAATTGAATATCAATTCAATAATTAAAACAGAAAATATAATTAGTCAGTGATACCAACATAATACATACAAATAAAACAAATAGGTAATTGTATTAATTTTCATTTAAGTACACAAATCATAATATACTGAATCAAAAATGAAATATTTGACCTAACATATTGAGTTTTTAGTTGATCCAGTCAAAAAAACGTATACATATTATGTATGGTATTAGTAACTAGCAATACTTTAGAAACAGATGATATTCATGACATTATTTTTTTTTTTTTAAATTACATCAAACAAATTTAATTATTATTTGACTTTTTATATAATTAACGTGTAAATTGAGTAAAATATATTTAGTTTAAAGATAAACAAATTAAACCAAGATACCAAGTACAAACCTTTTATTAAAAAAGAATTGAATATGTTTTAGTGATTTTCGTAATGAGATGAACAATTAATTTTACTAGTTTAGTTTTTTATTATTATTAAAATGCATAAAAACACAGGTTGAATTCTACATACAATAATTTAAATATTGATATAATATAATTGAATTTATATATTTTTAACTAAATCATGTAATTACTATAATGATAAGTTCTACTACGACAAGTTATGGTTGAATCTGTCAATTAAGATACACTTTTCAATAATTGTCAACGAGAAAACTCTATTAACCACACCACTATAATAACTAACGATGAATATTAAAACGATAAATTATTTATAGTTCCAATTATGGTATAATCTAATTTGTGTAAATGTATTTTTATAGCTTTAAATGCTTCATGTATAATTAAACATTATACAACCACTCAATTCAAAAGATAACAAACAATACCAAGGAGTTTAATCCTTGGTAATACATTGATTACCTCTAATTAAATGCAGAATTCCAAATGATAACTTCAATACTACAATAAAAGGATATTAGTCTATCTGAAAATTGTCGGAGCGAGCGAAAAAGTATCTAGCAACAATTAAAACCAAGCAAATATATTTCTCAACCTCAAAACAATAATAGCCTAACTCTCTCAACAACGGGCAAACTAATAAAATTTGTTTCAACTACAACAGAATTACAATAATCACCATACTCCACGAGGTTGCCGAACTAGGTACTTTAGTACTTCATACTCACTTAAACCAGCGTAATACCGAATTTCAGTAAATTTGGAAGAAACCATCAGTGTACCACATAGTAAACCCAATCTTACCAACTTCCTCAATGTTTAAATATGTATTTAAATTTAAGCAACATAATATATTATTAGAATTTACAATTGAAAATTATATAATAATAAAACAGACAAATATATTACTATAGGTACTTAGATAAATTGTTATATATTATGATTATTAAAAAAAATAATCTAACCCCATAATGTCAGAGCACTTAATTTTTAAATGAAACATTTTAAATTTAAAGTAAAATATTTGAAATAAGATGTTAAATTGTTCAAGTTCTTACGATAAAAAATTTAATTTTAACCAGCTTGAATCTGCAATTTTTTTTCTACTTTACAGGAACCTGCTACAATTCTGGTATCTTTCTTCATTAAACATTTTGAAAGAGATCCAAGTTAATTCAGAAATGCGTATAAGTTAAGACACTTGGGTATTCAAAGAAAAAATTATACAAAAGAAGCTTTAAATTTAAACGGATTACACTAATTGGTCCAATTCTAATTTTTCCACTATGTATCATCAAAAAATATTATCGTCAAAACCACTCTGTAATACCAAGTTTAGATTATTAATGTAGGAATAACATAATATTATATTATTATCAGAATACTTGAAGACGTGTGAAAATTAAAATTAAAACTAATACTTCACAAGGAATATTTTATAAGTAATTAAGGTGGATGAAAATCTAACGTCAATCACTCAAACGTATATCTACACAGTCAACTGAAATAACTTTGAAATTCAATGTTAAATAATTAAGATAAAAATCAAACGAAGGGACTAAGGTAATAAAGTAAAGATATTTAAAAAAAGTCACAGCTATTGAACAACAGGAAATTAAATTTGAAATATAATAACTTTTTTTTTAACAATTGAATCATAAAAAAACATACTCTACAAAATAAAGTGTTAAAAATTGACAAAAGAGAATAAAACATCCTAAAAATGAAAACAATAATTCAATTTAAATGCTAGTAAGTATGTTGGGTTAGTAACGTATACCAACTAAAGTATATTCATTTAATTTATTTCCATAAACTAACGAGTAGTACCTGGAATATAGTTCATTTAACAAAGTACCAACCATAAATTATTCTTTACGTTTATTATAATATACTATTATATCACAATGGAATCCATACACACTCTAATTCAATTTAACTTTATGTAGGTACCTACTTTATAATAATAGTCAAAATAATTTTGAATAAACACAATATTATTAAATGTATAAATATCTGTTTTAGTGATTCCAGTTTGCGAAAATTGAAGTATATATATGTAAGTAAATATTTAAATGTAATAGGAATATAGGATACAACAGATAGTCGTATTTATTTAGTTATTATTAAGACTAAAAATGATATAATCATAATTCATAATAAATAGTTTACTCACTTCTCGCTTGTATGTATAATTGTATAAATATCAGTAGAATTATAGAATCATCTTAGTTTAGTGAAATACTTATAATGTATTTACCTAAGTTAAAGAAACTACCATTTCTAATTTGAAAAGAGCACACTATAAAGCCTGTATTACATATACAATACAGACAATGGCACATATTTTGAATATTATTAATAGTATAATGTATAATATAAAATCTTACTAATATTGTAATAGGTTATTATAATGTATGTGTTATTATTATATGTTCAGTTTCATTTGAACGGAGTCATTGGTCCCTAACTTCATTTATTACTAAAATTAATAATTGCTTAAAAAAAAATATAGATTTTGATGGAAAATATTTTTAAACATTTTATATGTTTAATAGCATACTAAATTCAAGTTTGATGTAGGTAAAACTGTAAAAGGTATATGAATATTGAACATTTTAGTATATTACACACCGCGGTCCGCGACCTAATATATTATAAAATGGTTATTACTTATTGAACAATTTCATAAATTAGATATGAGGTAGGTAGGTTAGGTACCTACCTACATAGCAACGAAAAAAACATATTTTATTTGTTTTCGATTAAATGGGCTCCGTAGTCGTTGAAAACAAACCATTTTAACTTATTGTTGTACACACTTGCTATGAACATATTATTTCGTATCATCGAATCGTTTATGTACCTACTATACTATTGCGTCGTATAAATGTATGTACCAGGTGTGAAAAAACAAATGTAAGATCGTTCCGGTACACATTAATACAACAAATGCATAGGTACTAAACATTACTATAATTTTTATATTACATTTTTATTGTGTCTAAAATGTTTTTGTTTTATTAACTTCAAAATTATTGAGAAACTAATTCGATGGATTTTTAAATGAATATAGCTAAATTAGTTAGGTGAATACAAAATAAAGATTCGGCTTTCAATTGACCAAGTGGATACTTGTGGTGATTGTCTTTAAACAATATGTTAAAAAGAAATAATGATGAATGATGAATTCAGAATTATTGAATTCAAATTGTATCATTAGAAATTCTAAACAAATTACCTAAATATGAAAAAAAATGTAGTTAAAATATACTTCGTTAATTCTTCTGGATGTTGTTTTTTATGATTTTCATAAAATCGATTGTAAATTCTGTATGATTAAATATTTTACATATTTACATTTTATTTTCAAAACCACGAACAACGTTTAATATAAATAACATAATTTTATAAAAAATAATAATAAAAATACTCAAAACATGATGTTTTTATAATTCCAGATGGTGGGTTAGTATTCCCAAAGTATTTTCTTTTTGATATCATTAGTTAGTGTATGTATGATTTTTATAAAATGTGTTTTGGATTAAAGTATTTAGTTTATTAAATTACTCAGCTGACTAACAAATATAATAAATAGTATATGAAGACATGATAATAAAAAAGGGTTATACGAAAGCTAAGTTTAGACCGAAAACTTTTAAACGTTATGTTTTTGTTGGCTAGTTTATATTTAGCATGAAGTGATTATCACGGAGGTATACTATGTATGACGTGTTAAATGAAATCATGAAATCTCAAATCACTTCAAGCGGCATTAGTAAGCATAATATATTTTAGATGCATAGTCGCTAAGATAGAACGCTAAGAACGGTTCTGACAACTTAAATTTCTTGAATATTTAAAACGAATAACAAGACATCTGTATTGATATATCCCATCGCAACGGTTTCGTAACAACTCTAGTGTTGTAGATAGGTTCCTAGTCTTAAATTTAAATAAAATATGTACATATCTATGATATGCAAAAATAACAAATTTATAGATTATTATATGATCATAAAGCTATCTTTTGGATTAATCATTATATTGTTTACGAGCACAAACAAAATAATAAAAAGATTAATGTCATTATTTGATTTCATAGTATAACCATAAAATATATAAAAGATCATACTGAAATATATTAATCAGTTCTCTACCTAATATAAATAAGAAACTATATACTCTTAAAAATCTGTTTATTATGTTTAATAAAAATGTATACTTTTTTTTAAATAAAGTTTTATTATTACTTTACAGAATACCTTTCTTAAAAAAATCGACTCTGCATTCAATTAATGTAGTAAATTTAGTATCCATTT